AACAAAAAGGGAGGACTTACCTGCATGCCTACGTATTTAAAATCCTCATCCGTTGTGAAGTTAACAACGCTAACAAATCGATCAGAGTTACTGATCTGACATGTGTAGCCCTCAGTTGCGTTCTTTACCATTTGGAAGTTGTAAGAAATGCAACTCTCTTTCTTAACACACTCAACTCTGCAACGAATTTCTGCGTCCACTCGTATTTCTTGGATCGTGTTTCCAGTCAGCCTTCGCCCGTTTATTGGGGAAGCAAAGTTCACGGCCTCGAAACTTGGTTCCAAAATACGACCAATACCGTAGACGGTAGTGCTGGTCAAAAATAGCAGCCAGAGATGCATATTTTGTGAGAAACAGGATTGCTTTGTGCAAAGTGCTTCAAGGGGTTCGTTTAAGAGAGCGTAGAATATTAGCTGTCACTCAGTAAAGTTTAAGACAGGTGTATCAGTTTATATCGTAATGAAGCCATTAACGCAAGATTATGATGCGATGCGAGGCTGTGAGTGAGGAGAGACAAGCGTTCCATATTGTAGCAGGTCTTCAACTAAACAAACAATTTTTTTAAAAGGAATCATTTCTACGAAATATCAATTACTTGAAAAAGTATTTAGGAACCAGTATAAGATTCTGACTGTCCAACTACCCTAACCGAGAAACAGTCAACTTTAACAGCTCACTTAATTTTACTTTGAGCGAAATGTTCAGGCAAACTTTACGTGATCTCTTTCCAACAGATAAATTTAACTCAATTAGGAATGCCCTAAAAAGTGAATTTGAGTGTTAGTTTCGCAATAATTTATTCGACTGATTCCATGAAACCGGACCGTCGAAGACTTCACGGCCAGTCCGCAGTTGAAAACACAATCGTTCCTTTTGTTTTACGTAATACACAATTCAGTAAAAACTGTTTCGCCACAGAATAGGAAGTGACCAACAATGAATTAAGTATATTTAGTGACCCATTCACGGGTTAAGCTAAATGAGCTTACTAAATTAGCCTCCCATTAATGTTTCGTGTCTTCATTCAGCTCAGGTGGTAGTCAAGAGTACTGTAGCGCGAACGCAGAGGCCTTTAAAACCCCAGAAATTTTTTTCGTTCGCAGGTCTTAATTTGCAGTTCTTTTGAATTACGATTACAACTGAGATGGTCATATCTTCGTATAGAATATTTTTAATATATAGACTTAGCCAGGGCTAAAAGCGCAGCTCCAGTTAATACTGTAAAATTTAATTCAAACAATCAACTTGTAATCCACAAATCGGTTAACTGTGGGGATCCATATGACGTTTTTAACGTTATAAAGAGTTGGAATGGGTGACTTAAGAGAAAAAATAATTTGCAAACAGTGCAAGAATGAAACAACATCTAATATCTTACATCGAGTTAATAGTCTTATTTGTACTAATAAATAGAAA